CCCCCGCCCCCCCCGCCCCCGGGGGGTTGTAGCCGCAGCGAGCCGCAGGGTCGGGCCACATTTCTTGCACATTTCTATCTTTAACGTGAAAAGGAAGGGCGCATGTACCCATGGTTGTTTGATTGCCTTGTAGGATATCTTGCGACATAAATGCAGGCATTTTCATGTCACGAGGGAGAATTTAAGGAAGACGATGACCGTGCCAGACGGGGTGTCACGGGCACCGCGCTCAGCCCACGAGCGGTCAGAGAGAACCAAGAGAGAACATAACAGGACCGGTGTGGCGAGGTTTTATGTGAGTATGAGTACGATGCAAGGGTCAGCTGATGCATGCAGCTGCAGTTCGTTGGGAGCTCGGGACCGAACCTGGGGACGCGTCGGCTGTAGGAGTGCTGTAGGCCGTGCTTCCGAGGTGCGTCGACGCGATTCGCGTTTTCGCACTTCATTGAAAACGACTGTAATGGAGTTGGTTTCGAACAGGAGCTGGGTGGCGATTGTAGAGGGCGCACGGGGGCACGGTGAGCGTGAGAGAAAAGAGGGGACTGGAATGCGAGGAGGTGTGAAAGTGTCAGTGGGAATTGAAATGGGTAACAAATTCTCGTTCATAAGGACTACCCCCCCTCCCCCGACGCAACCGAGAAGCGCAAACACAATCAGCTTCGTTGCATTATCCTTCTCAGAGTTAATTTCATGCAGTAGAGAGCGTACTGAACGCCGTGGCACCAGAGAGAAGCAATCGCGCGGCGGCGATGCGCGCCGCCGCCGCTTTGCGGCGACCAACCCTAACCATACCGCAACCAGCAGAGGCGCGCCGCCGCCGCGCCACGCCGGACCATAACTTGCGATCTGCGTCCATCTTCTGCCCATTCGGGAACGTCGCCAGATCCACGGACCACACTACTGTCATACAACTCACAGCTACCGTACTCGGCGCCTCGCTGCCGGTATCTACCGGACGCGCTGGCTGTTCACTCCAGCGCGAGTTACGACGCTCCGCCCCAGAACTACGCGGGCCATTCTACACTGTTGCAATGAACTCGTGCCACGAAATATATTCCCACTACCCGACACTATCGCGATCCGATCCGATAGGCAATCTTGAAGGTGGAGAGGCTGTGAAGAAGCTCCGTGCTAGGCGGAGCGCTCAGGTGGACAGCGAAGCGCTGCAGAATGCTCTCACGCGGGAAGCTCGACAGCAACTCAGATATTGGGCCTGTCACAGACAGTATATATTCACTTGTTCTGCTCCTGGCGGTGATTTGCGTATGCGACCGCTTCCCGCCGGAGACCTGCAATAGGGCCATACGGCGGATGTACCTATCGGCTCATCACCCTATCCAAGTACAGTTGTAATAGAGACCTGAATGTCAGGTGTGCATGGCTACAGCATGTTTACACAGACTCAAGGTTGCCGCTCATCTCGTATGCCCCGCCTCTGCGCTCACGGGGGCATGTACGCCATTCTGTCGATCGGGAGGCAGTTCAGAATCTTCTCCATTCTGATACTCACAGCGGTGTTCCTCGGCTACCCGCGTGTCTTCCGGGGGCGTATAAGTAGACTGTCGATCAGTGGTCATACTCCATTCACTACGTCTCCCACCTCGTCGCCTCGCCACCTGAGATCGAAGACGGGGCGGCTTCGGTGGAAGACTGTTCTGGACGCCCTCTCCCGTCAGGGAGAGGCCCAGAGCGTAACCCTGTCCCCTCCATCGCCTGATGTAGCACAGAACCTGGCAAGCCATGGCCGCTTTCGCCGCTTCGCTCGTAAGGCGCTCAAGCCACTGCGTCCCGGCGCCCCCACGCGCACCCTTGCTGCAAACACGCTGCGAATCAGCCTGGAGACCTTGAAGGAGGCGTCTCCTGCGTTTCCGCCCCTACAAGGCGCCGTCGGCGGACTTCTAAAGCTGATGAGCCACTACGAGGTATGGACCACTCAGTCTAACACCTGACTCTCGATTTACTCACCCTGCGTTAGACCATGGCACAGAACACGCTGGACCGACAGAAGCTCTATGATCGTATCGGCGTGGTAAAAGGGAGCTTGGAAGCTGCCTGCAATATCTTGCAGAACTGCGCCGAAGACGCTGACGAGCGACGTCAAGTGCCATTGACTGCGAGCCTGAAGGCTCTTGCCGAGTAAGCACCGCTTCTTTGACCCGCTCATTAACATCTTCTAACTACGCGCCAGGTCTATACAGGCTATAATCGATGTGCTTCCTCCGGCTCATCGCCAAGGGCGACTGAAGCGCTTCCTTCTGGCGCGCGATCATAGGTCTCAGATAATGGATCTACTTGCGCGTCTGTCTGAGGTAGACGATGACTTTCGCGTACGTCCGGCCTGCTCCATATGCTTTACTAGACACTGATCATGCCTGTATAGAGATCGTTGGAGATTGATACCAATGGTCATGTCCAGGTAATCCACACCCTCGGAAACGATACAAATCGTCGTGTCAACGCCATCCAGTCCGTGACTCTTCGGACCGACAGTCACGTCAACGAGGTTCACTCCCTTGGACTTGAGGTTAGCCGCCGTATCGATCTCATCGGGTCTCTCGCTCTCGATATCAACCATCGTGTTGGCGAACTCGAGCTCACCCTTACCCGCCTTACGGTCAACGCCAATCGTCGCGCCTCTCTCAAGCCTGGTGCAGCGATCCGCTTCTCTGCTCTTACTCTTGTGCGTCACTCGTCCAGACTTTGTCAATCCATTGTGCTCACGAGCTGTTCGTAGCCCAGTCTCAACGGTTTATTTGCGGTGGCCCGCTCGTGATTTCTGTCAACTGACACCTAAACCCTGGAAGTGAAGCGCCACGACAAAACGATCAGGAGCCGTTGCGACCTACGCCTTTTCTTCACTTCAAGGTTGCGATACGCGGTTTGTGGCGCTTGGAGGTTCCATGGTGACCTGATCTATCCGCGGAATGCTTCGCTTCGGTTGGACGTCTTCCGCGAACTACATGATCTGAGGACGTCCAGTCCAGGTTTTCTGCGAGCATCTACCGGAATTATCAATTGCCAGCACAGGAACAAATAACGCTAACAGGACTTTATAAAAAGTAGAAAATCATTAAAGTCATCAGCGACAAGTCTCATCAGATCCGGCGAACCAGATGCCTATGCCTTTATTATTGTAAATTAATCACTTGATGGGGCGCAGAGATTGCGAACATCTTGTACTCCGAACGGGCCTTTCGCATTTCTCTATTCTGTGTTTGGATCATTCTGTTTCTTGACTCCGACTTCATGTCCTCTTGACCGATCTGGACTTTGACATTGACCGTCTCGAAGCCTGTATTTGTACAATTGCCATAGATTTGCCATAGATCACTCCATGCGTCAATATCGTGCACTCTGCGATCTTTTCCAAACGCGTAGGTGTACACATATAACCCAGTAGAGAGCAATCTCAGACTCACCGGAGAGGCAGACCCAACGTAATTTAGACCCAATGGCGATCTCAGTCCACTCAAAACAATGCTTTTTATCGTATCGCAGAAGCAACTTCTGGACGCCGGTACTGTATAGCACTCAACCTGCTTCACTTGCAGTCTCTGAGAGGTCCTCCGAGCCTCGATAGAGAGATTTTGCAGCCCGTTTTTGGTGGCGTTTCTCTAACGAGCAACGGACTCCAAGAGCTCCAACTCCGTCGAGCAAATAGCTCCAGTCTGTCGACGGGTCGGACACGGGTCTGGTGTTCGACCGGGCTCAATCAGGCTCAACCAGTACTTGACCCTCCGGCCGGTCATAAGCGCTCGAAGCAGGCGGCAAGTGGGCTCAACTGATTGGGCCGATCCGTCGCCGAACTCTCTCAACACTACCCACGGGGCTCCTCTCCGCGTATCCTGGCATCGAGCAACGGCTGCGCGTGAGGCGTTCAACGCGCCACAGCCCCGAGCAGCCCCAACTCTGTCTGCGTGGCGCCTTCGGAAACAGGCGTGCAAAATCTCTCTAATGTCTTCGAGGACGCCAGCGCTTCCTGAAGCTGTCCGTGCCCGCCACGCCGGGATGCGCGCAGGATTCCAAGGACCTCGGTTGACTGTAGAAATACAACTTCCATTCGCATCGCATAGACCAGTTAAGCGATAACGTAACGTACTAATTCTCGAAAAATATGCGTAGTGTATGTATGGTGTATGAGGCTTTGCTTGCAATGTAGGTATGAAACGCGGGAGGGGAAAGGGGTTGGCAATTGATGATGAGATTGCATGGTTCATATATGTAACAGTGTAATGGTGGGTAGGGGTAGGGGATAGAGGCACAAAAAGGGACCAAAAGGACCATGAGAAACGAGGACAAGCGACAGCGTCCAGTCCAGAAAAAGGCGGAGGAGCAAGGTTGCTTTTATGCGACGAAGAGCGTGGTGGTGGTATACAAAGCATGGTGGACAGCGACGACGGACAGACGGGTGCGGGACGTCTAGGGCTTGCGGAACTCGCAGAGCACAGTGTAGATCGTGTTGAACGCGGTGTAGATCTCTTCACGGACCTGTACAACGATGATCAATGAAGAGTTGATGAACGAGCAAGAAACGAATATACCTTTGCACCGGTCAAGACGATCTTGCCAGAGACGAAGATGAGGAGCACGACCTTGGGCTTGATCATGCGGTAGATCAGACCAGGGAACAGCTGCGAAAGAACGTCTATAAGCAAATGTACAACGACAACGGGGAAAGCATGAACTAACCTCAGGCTCGTAAGAGCTGAACTGTCCGTGGGAGTATGCAAGGCCCTCGAGACGGATCGGGAACTTGACGTCGCAAGAGCCGACAATGTTCTGGATCTTGAACTCGGAGAACTTGGCGTCGAACCCAAGCTTCTGCACAATACGCGCATACTTGCGGCTCGCCAGCCTCGAGTCGTCCTCGCTCTTCGCGCCCGTGACGACCATCTTGCCACTGGCGAAGATCAACGCCGTCGTCTTCGGATCACGGATACGCATGATCACGGCGGCGAAACGCTACAAATCAAGAAAAAAAGCACAGTAGCATCGCGTTCTATCGCGTATGCAAACTGTGAGTTAACCAACCTTGGGGTTGTACTCTGCATTGCGGGCGTGGAGGGCGATCGTCTTGAGGTCCAGTCGGCAGTCGAGGTTGACGGTAGCCACGATGTTCTGGAGCGTGGGCACGATACCCTCGACGGCGGTGATGTGCTGCTGCTCGAGCGTCAACGGCGCGGGCGTTGCCGGGACAGCGGTGGCGGCCGGCGTCGACGGGCCGGCGAGGGCGCCGGGCGTGGCGTACGACGCTGGCTGGGTGGTGGCCGCCTTTGACGCGGCGGCCTGGGTGGCCGGGCCGGGGCCCGGAAGCGCGAGCCCGCCGGTAGGCGCGGGCTGGCGGTAGTACTGGCTGGCGGCCTGTTGCTGCTGCTGCTGGGCCTGTTGGGCGGCCTGGGCCTGCTGTTGCGCCTGCTGGGCCTGCTGCTGCTGGTACTGCGAACGGCCGGCGCCGAACGTGACCTGGCGAGCGGGCAGCGCGAAGGAAGTCTGGGACATGATTGATTATTTTTTGAGTAGTGCGCGAAAATGTGAGAAAAATTGGGTCGGGCGGGAGCGCGGGGGGGAGGGGCGTGTGTGATTTCGGCGAGCGCTCTTTATAGTTTTCTGGCGGCCCTATCAGGTCCCGAACTTGATCTCGCATCTTTCTTTCTGACCATCACCATCGACGCAATGTCCTCGTTCTTGCCCTCCCGCCCTCTTTCTTGACCTTCAGCGGTACTCGACACCCCCTTGATACTTACCGACGACGTTTGAGGCGGCTTAAGGCTCGCTTTTGCGGCTCAGAACGTCGTAGATGTGCTCGGATGGGCCAAGCGGGGGTCGTAAGCGCGTTTTGATCCCGTTCCCATGGCCCCTTTCCATTCTTCCCTCCCTCCGTCCTTGACCGCTCCCTCTTCAAGCACGATCTTCGCTGCTGGGTGGCATACGTCTATGCTGGCCGCAACAGGCAGTAAAGCGAACATCCTGAAGCGGGAGACGTTGGAAGGCAAACGATGCGCAGTCCGAGTCGGAGAAGGTTGCATTGCATTCCGCATCCTTCCCGTCGGATCACCCGGAACTGTTCCGGCCTTCTAGAAGTGGTTCTATTTCTCCTGGACACGCATGTACTGTACAATGACACGTATAATCCATGAAATATATTGCCTTTACAATCTACGCTATAGGCGCATCCCTCGCGAATGAGAAGGCCTAAGACTAGCGAAGCACAAGAAGACGTCGAAGTGTGACGCGCTCAGCGCTACGCCGCGGCTTCGACGCGTCGCAACTGACTCCGCACATCCATCCGCTCTCATGGTCGTACACCGACAGGCGCCACTTCGAGCTTCTCCTGGGCTACGATGTGAACACTACATCATGAGTTGCATGATACATACATGATATCAAGATGCGGAGGTATACAGGAGGTTCACGATGATACAGTCCGATAGTGTCCATCAATAATAGGGTTCTTGTCCAGTTCGAGTCTCTTCAGGCTAGGAGCGCTACGCCAGCGCCGACCAGCGCCGCCAGCATAGCATGCCCATTCAGAAGTAAAGCTGGAGCTGAACCGCTTTCGCTGCGAGAGAAACTGTGTGAGTGGATGAGCTCGGGATGAGAAGTCGACCGCTTAGAGCCTGCATACGTGGATCCTGGGGCCGAGGAGCCCGAAGTTGTAGAGTTTGAGCTGGAGGAGTTCGTGCTGCTGCCGTTGCAGGATGCGAGGCCTTGTTTGACGAGCTCGTTGCCGGCGGTGATGAAGTAGTAGTCGCCTGCGCGGCGACAGTTGAGAATGGAAACCAGAAGATAGAGAAGGGGGAGACGCACCGTAGACGATCCCGGTGTCGTTGTTAGGCGGCTTCGCGGGATTGTTCACCGTCCCGTTCGAAAGCAAACTCTGGAAGTCAGGCTTCCAGAACTTGTTCACCGTGTTCGTGAGGATCTACGTTCACACCAGGACACATGAGTGTCTCGTTCGATGACCGGGAAGAACGGGGAGATTCACCTGCTGCGCGATACCTTGGTAGTAAGACGCGCCACTGGCGTTGTTCACCTTCGTTTCTTGTTGTGAGAGGAGAAGCAGGCCGTTGGTGGCGACCATTGCGGCGGAAGTGTCAGCGGGACGGCCTGCGGTTGGCGCGTTGAAGTCCCTACGACTGACATCAGCCCGAAGGATACAGGTGAGAGGGGGAAGAGACCTACCAAGGTACGACGCCATCCTCAGGGATGTTGTCGATGAAGTACTTGGCCATGCGGCGCGAAGTATCAAGATAGTGCGTGATGCCTGTCATGTTGTACACTAGACCGATATCAGCATCCAGATATACGTGTTGGATCCGTGAGGGAGGACGTACTTTGCGCGAAACCGTAGATCCCCCAAGCCTGCCCGCGCGACCAAGTACTGTTATCCGCATACCCCTGCGACGTCCTCCGCCCAATAACCTCGCCAGTCGTCGAATTATAATCAACAACATGGAAACTCGACCCGTCGTCCCTGACATGGTTAACCATAGTCTTGTTCGCATGGCTCGTGGCCATATCGATCAACGTCTGGTTCGGTTGCAGGTCGTTGGATGCGAAGAACAGCTCGAGGTTGATCATGTTGTCGATGATGACTTCGAAGTCGGTCTCGTCGGTCGTGTTGTCCCATGAGCGGGTGCAGCCTACTGTGGGATTGAAGCGGCCGGCGAGGGAGGAGGCGAAGGATTGGACGGCTGATTTGGCCGTGTCGTTGTTTGGGCTCCTACACACATGGTCCTTGTTAGACCGGTGGCGAATCGGACAGGAGACAAGAACGTACACAAGCAGCTCAGCTTGGAACGGGAAGCTCACAAAGCCCACATCATGCTCCAGCTGGCTCTGAGCAGTCGCGCTCAACGTCGACCCAGGGATCTCTCCACTACTACTTCCCCGTCCATACTCAATCCACTCGCTCGCGTTCAACCCTAGCTCAGGGCACAATCCCGCGCGCTCGGCCATCGCGTACATCGTAGCGGGGAAAAACCCAGTCGTCCATGTGTTGCCTCCGAAGTAGCGCCATGTTCCGTTCGGGAAGGTGTACTGTGGCCACTGGGACGGGACGGGTGGTTGGGCTTGATATGTCGCGCGAAGCTTGACGGCGATGGACGAGTCGAAGAGTTCAGACGGCAAGTCTGCGGCGAGGGTGGTGGTGGTGGCCGCCGCCAGGACGGCGAGCGTTCGGAGCGTCATGACTGTCAACGCGGAACGAGATGGCCGTGAATGTTCGTTAGAGTTAGGATGGGTATGAATGTGGCGACAAGGTGGCCCGGATGTAGATGCGGCGACGGCGTCGAGCGCGCGTGTTCTTATATACCGGACGGGCTACCCGGGCCACTGGGCCCAGAAAAAGGTAGTACATGTGACTGACACACGGCCGATGACGAATGACACAAAACACCAGCTGAACGGATTTTGTGCACCTCAAACTTCAAACGGAGCGGTAGCCCCGTAAGATGTGGGCATGTGATGGGCCCTCGGGATAGATGGCTGGGCAGATACGTATGGCGCGAGCGACGATGGAAGGAAGGAGATTACCGGATTGAGAAAGTAGACGCCGCGAGCGTGTTGTGAAGAAAGGCACGAACGCACACTGCATCGGGACGCTCGGGTTCGAGGAACGTCAAAGGGTTGCGGCGGAGGGTTCGGATGCGTCCATTGCGTATGGAACACATCAAAGTATCCGGCTATGCCCGTTCACCTATGCAATATCCGATCTCGCCGGTAATCACGACGAGAATTCACCGTACGCTGCAGACGATGAGGGTAGAAAGCAAAGTACGGCGCTTGCGAACGCCACCGCACGTGTAATGATGGCTACCTTCCTTTTCGGGCCCGAGGCGCGGCAGCAAGGGCACGACGCGTCGGCGCGCGGCGCAGCTTGACCACGAACCCCCAACCCTCCTCCTTCTTCCACCCATTAAATACCCAATTTAGACACACTTTCATCATGTCGACTGGGTTCGCGGCGGAGATCGTCGGCATCGTCAATAAACTTCAGGATGTCTTTGCCACTGTTGGGTCTACGAGCGCCAATATCGACTTGCCCCAGATATGTGTGCTGGGAAGTCAGAGTTCTGGAAAGAGTTCCGTGCTCGAGGTGTGTATACATTACATTGAAGATATGTTACAAGTACTGATATGCTGGTGTAGAACATCGTTGGACGCGACTTCTTGCCGCGAGGGTCCGGTATCGTCACACGACGGCCTTTGGTGAGTTCAAGTCTGATATGTCAATATCTCTGCATCTGCGCTATTACAACGGCCCGGAGTCGTACTATGTTGTGCTGGATATACCTGATGGGAATGAAATATGAAAACTGTGGTGTACGGATGCCGGACTGGAGGTCGAAAGGGTATTGCTGCGCCGCTGCTATCGCTGTATTGGGGTTGCGCAGGCTACTGAGCCACTCCGATATATATCTCTATGATATAATACTGACATCAACTCTTCAGGTTCTTCAATTGATCCACCGACCAGTACCTGGTGGCGCCCCCGTAACAAACGGTGAGACGAAGGGCGACAACAAGAACAACGAGAACGAGTGGGGCGAGTTCCTGCACCTGCCCGGCGAGAAGTTCTACGACTTTAACAAGATTCGTGAGGAGATCGTGCGCGACACTGAGGCGAAGACGGGCCGCAACGCCGGCATCTCTCCCTTGCCGATCAACTTGCGCGTCTACTCGCCCAACGTCCTCACTTTGACGCTCGTCGACTTGCCCGGTTTGACTAAGGTCCCTGTTGGAGACCAGCCGAAGGATATCGAGAAGCAGATCCGCGATATGCTTATGAAGTACATCTCCAAGCCGAGTTGTATCATCTTGGCTGTTACTGCTGCGAACCAGGATCTCGCCAACTCAGACGGTTTGAAGATGGCGCGTGAGGTCGACCCGGAGGGTTTGAGGACGATTGGTGTGCTCACCAAGATCGACTTGATGTTCGTATCATCACTCGGAATATTTGTGTCTAAAATTGACATACCGTGGCGCACAGGGACCAGGGAACCGATGTCGTCGACATTCTCGCCGGCCGCATCATTCCTCTGCGTTTGGGCTACGTGCCTGTTGTCAACCGTGGTCAGCGTGATATCGACACTTCCAAGTCCATTCAGGCAGCACTCGAGGCCGAGCGGGCGTTCTTCGAGAACCACCCGTCATACAAGGCCAAGGCCCAGTTCTGCGGTACACCTTTCCTCGCCCGCAAGCTCAACAACGTAAGCCATATCTCAACCGATCTCGTCAAACATACCTGATACTGAATACGCTCGTGTAGATCCTCATGCACCACATCCGCTCGACGCTACCCGACATCAAAGCGCGCATCAGCTCTCAACTGCAGAAGTACAATGCAGAGCTTATTACCCTTGGCGGCGCAATGGGTAACCAGAACTCGCAGTCCGTGGTATTGAACGTCATCACCGAGTTTACGAACGAGTTCCGGACCGTCATTGACGGTAACACGAACGATCTCAGCTTGAACGAGCTTTCGGGTGGTGCTCGTATCTCATTCGTCTACCACGAGCTGTTCAACAATGGTGTGAGGAGCATCGACCCGTTCGATCAGGTCAAGGACGGAGATATCAGGACGATCTTGTACAACTCCTCTGTGAGTCTTCTGCCCTGTTTTTCTTTGATCAGTCGCTGATGTCGGTAATCAGGGTTCGACCCCCGCACTCTTCGTTGGTACCGCCGCTTTCGAAGTCATCGTCAAGCAGCAGATCAAGCGCCTCGAAGATCCCTCGCTGAAATGTTGCCAACTGGTCTATGACGAGCTCATTCGCATCCTGGGTCAGCTTCTCGGCAAGATCCAAGCCTTCCGTCGCTACCCGCAGCTCCGCGATCGCTTCAACAGCACCGTCGTGAACTTCTTCAAGACGGCCATGTCACCCACGACGAAGCTCGTCACAGATCTCGTCTCGATGCAAGCATGCTACGTCAACACCACGCACCCGGACTTTATCAACGGCCACAAGGCCATGTCCATCGTCCAGGATCGCTTGAGCCAGGGCAAGCCGCAAACGCCTGAGCCTGGCGCGAAGGGCGGGAAGATGCCGATCAACGGTGCAAAGGACTTGGATGTCGACCCGAGGAAGGAGGAGCAAAGTTTCTTCTCTACCTTCTTCAGTGCGGGCGCTAAGGGCGCGCAGAAGAAGAAGGGTCCGCAGCCGATGGAGGCGCCGCCGCAGATCATCAGGCCGCAGGCGGCGTTGAATGAGAGGGAGACGATGGAGACGGAGGTCATCAGTGCGTCCTTATATTCGTGCATAACCTATTGCTGTGACTGACGATATCGCGCAGAGCTCCTCATCCACTCCTACTTCAACATCGTCAAGCGCGAGATGATCGACATGGTCCCCAAAGCTATCTCGCTCACGCTCGTCAACTTCTCGAAGGAGAACCTCCAGCGCGAGCTGTTGCAAGAGCTGTACAAGCCCGAGGTGTTGGATGAGCTGCTTAAGGAGAGCGACTACGTCGTCAGCAGGAGGAAGGAGGTCGTGTCCATGGTCCAGGCGCTGAATAAGGCGGAGGAGTGCGTACCCTTCTTTCATTTTATTGAGCGTATACTGATGCAAAGCGTAATGCAGGATCGTCGCGGGCGTTTAAGAGATTTGCTTATGACCACTGGCCTGATTAGATCGGATGGAGCCTGGTGGATTTCGATTCGTCGTCTGTTGTTTGTCTGTTGTTCTGGACTATAGCTTACGCCGCGGGTTGGGTTGGCTTACGCTTGCAATGCACTACTAATACCCCTATCATTCTCGCGAGCACGTTCCGCTGTGCGCGTGGGACGGCAAGTGGCGGAGCTCGAAGGTGCTTTGTTCTTGCAGACAAAAGACGGTGGGAGAAAATGATGCGCGGGCCGACTTCTCTCTTTATTCTTCTTCCGAACCTCGTGCTATTCTCTTCTTGAGATGATCGACGGCCACCTCTTGCTTTGTGCTGCCCGTTCCGCACATGAGATGCGGAGAGGTGTGGCCACCGCAATGACAGAAATTGCCCGATTGAGAAGGCCAAAGGTCTGCATCGCAGGTCAATGCGTCGTGCCGCTGGTGGTCAGTCCTTCCCAGTCTTTGTACTCCATTCGGACTCCTCTCGCGCTTTTGTTCTCGTCTTTGTTGTTCTTCGCTGTTATATAGGTTTCGAGGGTACGTGGGTGATGGTCCCATTGACTACCTCAGAACGAACAACGCTTGCCTTTTTGGGGCATACATCAGACTAACTTCGCCAGCACGCGATCTCATCTCATCTCATGGTACGAGGCTTGCGCTCTGTGTGTTGTTCATCCTCGCTGACGCTGGTGATGGTAGGTAAAGAAGTCAGAATCTATAGCCCGCTGGGTCATCGAGAATAGCGCGCGGCGCTTTCCCCACGTCTTCCCCCTCCCAGCCAGCCCCTCCTGTTCGCTTCAGCCCCCACCACCCGGCCTCCAATTCCGCAAACCCGCCATAGTCAAACCAAAAGGCATCCGCATCGTGCCCACGCCCCGACACATGAAAGGCCGTCGTTCTCCGCTATACCAGGAGATGAATGCCTACGAGCTCGCATGGCAAGTCGAGCAAGAGCAGATCCAGAGCGACTACTTCTGCGTCGATGAAGAGGATGATTTCTACGGACCGGATAGTTTCGACGTGGATGTCATGGACGTTGACGTGTATCACGGGTACCCGCCACCGCCAGATCTGGTCGTGGACGAGGGCTACGACGAGGCGATGGACTGCGATTACGACGAACAGGACGAGAAGAAGCTCCTAGCGAGTATATACGATACTATGTGGGGCCGTACGAGTGCCGCTGGGGCGCCGAGGACGAGTACCTCGTTTGCGTGTGCGACGTATGAGGAGGATAGTACGAGTACGGAGAGCGTACATTGCGCACGATGTCATACGACATACGCACCGCGGGATAACGGGCCAAGCGCATGTGTCATACCACACGTCTTCGAGTTCAACGGCGACGCGCTGAGCAATGGATGGTGTGCTAGCGCATGTTGTGGGCCGTCTGTTCGCGTACGGAGAGGGAAGGGCATTGCGCCGGATGAAGTGCGCGCTACGAGCTCTCTCGGTGAGCCGGGCTTGGACGTATGCTTTCGAGGAAGGCATACGCAGAATCCGCACGCTGTACAGTATACGAATGGGATCAATAGGACAGAGTGTCTGATTGGGCCGTACGGGTGCGCGTCAAGGAGATTGACGTATGGGATGGGGAAGGAGCTGTTTACAACTGATCTGTGTTTGCGTAGATGAAGGAGTCGCACGTCGCTTTGCTTTGTGTATGCTCTCAATGTATGTATTCAGTGCAGTTACACGAATATGCAAGTATGGATATGGATATGTAGTACAACATGTACGCTAGTAATACAGGTTATGCTAGACGAAAGCAGGCAGAATAAGCGAAGGAGCGTCGATTTGCAAAGGGCAATGAGTCCGTATTGTAAGTAATGTAGCAGGTCTGTCACAAGCACATGTCGAGGAGACGAATTGAAGGAGTGTTATATGTTAATCAGAACCAGTTGGCGGTTCGCAGACGGTCTGAGGGAGTATGCAAGGGGACTTCCTGATCCTCTGAGTGGGAAGAATGCGCGGACTTCAGGTAAGAGAGGGCTGAACGGCCGTCCCCGCGCACGCTACGCGGTGTGGTAGGAGCAGGGCTGGACGGACACGACGGCACACTGACTTCTTCCCAAAGCGGTGAAGGAGGCTGCTCGGAAGCCGAGGGTGTCCTTTCGCTCTCCGTGGAGTCCGTGAACCGAGCCGTAAGCACACGCCGTCCATGCGCTAAGAGGATGTCCCGCGCACTAGCCGACGCTCCGTCCAGCTCGTCAACGTCAAGCACGAACCGGTCCATCTTTTCCACCGCGGCGCGAATCTCCGGGAGCGTGATCCGGTCTCTGGGTGATGGTTCGAGGATCTCCGCGAGCAGTTCAGCAGCCGGTCTTGTGAACGGTAAGTGCGTGGAGAGGAAATTCGGGTCTCGTAGGTAGTCCGCATAGTGCCTGTCTGAGGGGTGCGCGCGGTCCCAGGGACAGATGCCGGTGAGGATGAAGCAGAAGACGATGCCGAAGGCCCATACATCCGCCGGGTAGGGATCGTATCCGTGAACTCCGTCTTGCTCCGGAGCGACACACTCTGCGCACAGCGTCAGCATTGTGTTTCTCGTAACTTGGTAGGGATGCAAACGAACCTGGAGACTGGAAGGGTTTGCTCCCCGCTCCGAAGCTCGAGCACGTTTGCGCATCCACGCTCGCGAGCCCGAAGTCAGCGAGCACAATGCGTTGATGGTCGATGGGTAGAAGAATGTTCTCCGGCTTGACATCTCGATGTGCGACGCCTTGCTCATGGCAATGGATCAACGCGTCGAGGATCTGCAATAGCGCCTCGCGAACGCGGTACGCGTCCGCCCAGAACACGCCCTGCGAGACCGCGTCAAAGAGTGAGCCGCCTTCGCAGTACTCCAGCACGATGCAGACGACGCCATAGGATGGTTCAATGAATGTCCGCAGGAGCTTCAGAATGCCGGGATGTCCGTGCTGTGCCGCGACGGTGTGTGCTGCGACTTCGAGAAGGGCGCCCAGTTGCGAGTCGCGCGATGCGCCGTCCGTGAGCTCCGCGGGGAAGATGACCTTCAACGCGTACTCTTCCTGGTCTTGGTAGTCCCATGCTCGGTACACCGCGCCGAAGGATCCTCGCGCGAGATGGTCGAGTACGAGGAGTCGCTCGCCGTCAACTTTGCATCCTTGCAAGTCGGGAAACGGCGCGCGCGACGGCGACGGCTTGTCCATGGCGCAAGATGGTGGGCGCACGCAAAGTCGTGTGCTGGGGCTGAGCGCTGAACAGTGGAACGAGAGGGAAGGCGCAGTTTATGAGCTGACAGAGGCTGTCATGCAATATATTGCGGCGCCCCAAGGAAAAACAGGGCGCCGCATGCAATCACACCGGCGGGCGACACCGCGTCGAGCGGCAAGTTGCTGAGACAGCTTCCGAGGTGGGTACCGGACAAACGAAATCCTCGTACAATAGTACTCAGCCACAGTCATCAGTGAGTACTAGCCGGTGGGGTAGGACCGGGTTTCGTAGCAACAGGCTAGCTTCAAGCGCTCGCATACTCGATATGTACGGCTTTGAGCGTAGACAGTATGCCTGTCCGAGGTCGGAGGTTGTGAGCGACATCCATTGCTATGCGCTCGAGGGTGACATCACAAAGCTTATATGGGCGGGAGGACCTGAACATGCCTGATCGAGGTACCTTTCTCATTGGCCGGGAGGCACGGTGTATGCCGACGTGCCCGCGGTGCAGATGATGGCGGAAGACAAGTGGGCCTGCCGGAGTCCTCGGCGCGAAAAGCCTATATCTCCATCATGATGAAGTTCATTGGATAAAGCAACAAAGGCGATATCTACAGTATCGTACTGCAAATGAGACAGGGTGTATAAGTACAATGCGCGAGAGCGAGATCCTATGTAAATGATGCTGTTGAGTAGTATGTGACAGTAATTGATGATGGTAATCCACGGTCGCGAGAAGTTCACAGAACCCGGCGAATCCTTCCAAATATGCGAGAGGCCCAGATGATACAAAGATATGGACAAAAGCAGGCTTATACAGGGATCCGAAGTTTGGGCAGCGCGCGTATGCGCGCCGCGTTGTTTGGCAACGTGGAATCCAGTTCGACGTTGAGGTAAGGCTGAACAGGACCGAGCGAGTCCTTCCGAGCCGGTGCGCCAGGCCGGATGCTGAACGCAGGCTCGGAGGGAGTGTAAAGCTCGGACTCGTCGGGGGTATCTGAGGCGCGGTATGTTGCGGTGGTCGGCGGCGAAGCGTCGCGCTCGCGGGAACTCGCGCGGGGCGGAAGAGCGTATGAGATGCCGAGCGCCTGCGCACGCTCGGCCATCATGGTTCGGACGAGGATGGGCGCATGTGCAAGTTCATCGTTGGTGGGGTGGAAGTGAGTGATCGTCTCAAGCTCCTTGCGGAACTGGGCAAGTGAAATGCGTGCGCGGGGATGCGGCTCGAGTACGCGCTTGAGGAGCGGTAGGAGCTCGTTCGATACACATAAATAACGGGAGATGGAGTTGCGGTCGTGAATGTATGCTGCGTAGTGCTCGTCGAAGGGGTGAGCCTGTGCCCATGGGACGGAGCCGGTAATCATGTTGATGAGGATAACGCCGAGAGCCCAGACGTCGCTGACTTGAGCGTCAAATTGCACGGCGCCTTCTTCGGGCACGGAGCACTCTGTAGGATATTGATGAGTTGTTGCTTTGGCGTGCATACGTGTCGGTACTTACCCGGCGACTTGTAGTACTTGCTGCCAATACCGAAGCCAGAAGTCTCAATCTGGGCTGTCGCCAGACCGAAGTCTGAGATGACAAAGTGCTTGCCATCCTCGTCAAGAGCAATGATGTTCTCCGGCTGCAAGTCTTATCAGCACAAAAGGTCACGTTGAGTTGAGCGGAAGGATGCATACCTTTAGATCTCGGTGCGCCATGCCCTGTGCATGGATGTGTGCGACTCCATCGATGATCTGCAGGATTGCCCGCTTGACAATGTCGTCGCGGCGCCAGAAGAAAGGGCGACCGGAGATGTTTGAGAGGAGGTCGCCGCCCTCGCAGAGATCAAACACGAGGAAGTGCAGTCCTTGCTCGACGAAGGCCTTGTGAATCGTGAGGACGTTATCGTGGTCGGAAGCTGCAGCATGGAGCTTCGCCTCATGCTCAAAGAGCTTGGAAATGTTGAGGAGCTTGCCCTTGCGTGTACGGCGGTTGGGTAGCAAGCACTTGACGGCGTATAAGCCGCCATCGTGGACGCTCTGAGCGCAATAAACTGCGCCAAATGCGCCCTTGCCGATCTCAGACAGAATCTCGAGTCTTCCACAGTCGACAAGACTGCCGATAGCAATAGGAGAGGGTCGGTCGGAGGGCATGCTGAACGTAGAGTGGAGTGATGCGGTAGTACGTAGGCGAGACGTGTGAGTGGAGACGTTCTACGTCTGAAGGGCGCAAGGGTCGAGGGTATAAATACGAGATTAGATGGGTGAAGCCAGACAAAAAGTTGGGTGAAGATCCATCACGATACACGCATCCGTTCTTATAGTAATGAGCGGGCTAGAAGAGGCGTGGGGATCCGTGTCTAGCCGGGTCGCCGTCTGGCATGCTACATCCTCATTGCGGCCTCATGCATCGATACTGAGAAAATTGGCGGTAACCCTAATCCAATGCCGTGAGGCGCTTTGGATCTGCGGAACCCGAATGGGACTGTGGATAGTAGGTGGCCGTTAGCTTGTAGATCGAATCCAGAAGGCTTTAGCTGTATACAACCAGATAGCGGTCCTCACAAGGTCTGCACGAGATAGATAGGACGGAGAAGTTTAGCACAGCCGCCGCCTCATGACTGGGAGAATGGCAACACTAATTGCGCCGTCAAAACTCGTGGTGAACGCGCGAAGGAAGTCCGAGTCGAAGAGCTGATGCTGAGGTACAATATCCCGCCACGTGGAGAGCGTGGGCTGCTATCACCGGCTAGCCCCATGTGCGCGTTGCAGCTCGCCTCCAACCAGCTCCGCCTCGTCCTCGCCCAAACCGACCCTACTTCGTTCTTCATCTTTTCACGTATATAATGGCTGAGGGAAGCAACTTCGATTATCTCTTCAAGGTCAGAAGCCCAGAATATAATGCGAACGTGTATTGAAGTTGGTTTAGGTCGTCCTTATTGGAGACTCTGGTGTCGGAAAGTCGTACGTCCTTTTTGTCTTATCAACGTGTGGTACTTGTATCTGATTGATGTTATCTAGCAACTGTGAGCTTGGCGGTACCTCGCTACCTATATAAATAACTGAAGGGCGTTGCTGAGATAGTGCTCTCACGATTCACGCGTAACGAATTCAACTTGGAGACGAAGTCCACGATTGGTGTCGAGTTTGCGACGAGGAGTATCTCTGTAGATGGCAAGACGTTGAAGGCGCAAATCTGGGATACTGGTGAGCATTATTCCATTAAATTGGCTGCGTGTACGCTCGGCACTCGGGCGTCTGGAGTACCCGCAGTGAGAGATCATCTGTCGCTGTTGCCGAGGCGCGGCTCGTTGGGCGGTGCAATAGCCTTATTCATGCACCTCTAGCTGGGGGTCATCTGGGAGGACTCGTCGTACAACGCGGCAAGGCTGACTCGCTGATTGGTGGCGCTGTTCTCATTGCCGGAGGCTGACTGGTGCTTTCACAGCTGGCCAGGAGCGTTACCGTGCGATTACCGCTGCGTGAGTTCGAACCCTCTCTAGATCGCGCGGAGCACTCATAGACTTATCTTAGATATTACCGCGGGGCTGTCGGTGCCCTACTCGTGTATGATATCGCCAAACACGCGACCTACGTCAACGTCACACGCTGGCTGAAGGAGCTGCGCGACCATGCCGACTCCAACATTGTGATCATGCTCGTGGGCAACAAGAGCGATTTGAAGCACCTACGCGCCGTGCCTACTGACGAGGCAAAGGCGTTTGCGAGTACGTCGACAGTCACGCGCCTTTCTGTCTCACCGTTCCTGACAATTACTCCCCAGCCGAGAACGGTCTCTCGTTCATCGAGACGTCCGCCCTCGACGCCAGCAACGTCGAGTCGGCCTTCCAGACGATCTTGACCGATATCTACAAGATCGTGTCGCAGAAGCAGTTCGAGCCCAGCGCGGACCCGATCAAGCCTTCTGGTGGCGAGTCCGTCGTCATCCCACCCACGGACACGGCGACAACCAAGGCTTCGGGCGGATGCTGCTGAGTGGCCTTCCGTCGTACATGTGGATTTCGCGCTTCGATACTTACTCGACCTTCCTGTTTATAATATGGTTCATACATCGTGTTTGTGCATTCCAATGTTTCTGTTACACGCTTGATCCTCGTGAGAGCCGGCTGGGTGTATGTGGCTGCACTGCAATTGATTGACTGATCTGCGGACCTTCCGATGAAACTAGCCGATCTGAGAGACCTGTAGAAGACAAGATATACCAGTCTATAGAAGCTATGCTCCACCTATAGAACCGAAGACGTGTACACCTAAGACTGAGCCTCGTTCGAAGCAGCAGCGCAGTGCTGCGGCTTGCCTCTCACCACCATCACGCATGGAACGCAGCAGAGTCTTACCCTCCTACGCAGCCCGTTTGCTCGTCTGTGCCTCAGGATAGCCGCCAGCGTGCTGCGAGCGCTCGATCAAGTCCACTTTGAACACTTCCAAAGGGGTGCCTACCTCTAGATGAGCGACTAAGCTTCCGCGCTATATAGGACGGCCTCCCCACCTACGCCCACCCCATCTAGAATTCGAACTCCCTACCGACGCGACTACATGATAGGCGGACTATCCTCTAAAACGGTGACGAACTCGAAAGTACTCGATCCAGAGCTTTTCGAGTACATCGGAGCCATCTTTGCCAGTCATGGCATACCCGGTCTTTCTGTCGCAGTTATCCACGCAGACGCGCCAGCCGAGTATGCGAACTGGGGTATACGGAACGAAAACGGCGAAGGAATGACCTCTGATGTACGCTTACCTCCTCCCCACTACCATTTCTCGACCGACTGACGCGGTTACAAGACTCTTGTCACCATTGCCAGTTGCTCGAAAGCTTTCCTCACCGCGGCCATGGGCATCCTTCTGGATGACTTTGCGTGCGGCAGAAAGGCCATACCATCCGGCCTTATGCGTGTCGATTGGAATACGCCTGCGTCGAAGTTATTTCCTGGGGGCGAGTGGAAGTTGCACCCTGAGTTCGGTATCATGTCTGAGCGTATAACGCTGCGCGATATGCTCTCGCACAGAACTGGGCTTCATCGGTAAGATACTCTTGGTCTCTTGAGCTGCGCTCGCTGACGCTTGTACTTGTAGGCACCTCTTATCCTACGGCGAGCCAGGGGATACAGTAGCAGACGTTGTTCATCGCTTGCGTTACCAGTGCCCAGCCTTTGAGCCTCGTACACGTTGGCTCTATTGCAATCCCGTACGTTAACATCTGACGTGTCTATCGTATTCCTAACTGAACCATCAACGCAGATGTACATGGCAGCTCAGCACATCCTTGACGTTCAAACAAGCTCCTTCACCGACTTCGTCGAGGATCGCATCTTCAAACCCTTGGGCATGGGCTCAATGTACTCTCCGGAAGCAGCAATTGCAACAGGACGCGCCGCGTTCGGCTTCACGAACCACAACAAACGGGCATCGCCGTTCTTCTACGACAAGGACAACTATCAGTTGTCTGCCGGGCCGGGCGGTGTGGTTGCCAGCGCTGAAGACTTGGTATGCTTAAGCTATGAAGTCTGCACCACTGTATGACGCTAATGCGCCGCTTTTAGGCTAAGTGGGTACGAATGCTTCTTCACGCCGGCGTCAATCCTGCGACTGGAGAGACCGTCATACCGAAGCCCGCCTTCGAAGAGGCGACTACCGCTCACGGTATCGTCAACGGCAAAGGGACCGCTGACAAGTCCATCCGCGGATACGGTCTTGGCTGGGAACGCGCTTCGTATCACGGGCATGATATTGTGAGTGCACGTCCGTCAGTGGTGAGGAGTTCTGCAGCTGAGTAATGAAGGTTTCCCATCGCGGCGGCAACAACGATGTCACGACTCTAGTCATGTTTGCGCCTCACGATCGTGTCGGCTTGGTACTGCTCATCAACCAGGAGTCGCAGCTGGCCATCATGGGCATCGGCTGGGCCATCTTACGCAAAGCATTCGGCATACCTCTTGGTGACCCGCCCAGACCGGTTGATCCAGCGTCCTCTCAAGAGAAGGACGGTGATGGGCAAGGAGTGGAAGATCGAGAGCCCGCGCCTGCCGGTCTGGCCGGGACCTACCACTCTCCCGGGCAAGGCTCGCCCATCACGTTCTACAGCTCATCCAGCGGCGGACCCGAAAGAGAGAGCGTACTCTCTATCTTCCGCACGATATCTGGCGAGCTGGCACCTGACGACCTCTATGCCGCTTTACCTCGAGCATGGTGCACGCACATCCGTTTGGTCCATCTCGGTGGCGCGCGGTTCTCATTGCGGTACAACTGGTTCTTCCCTGAAGGGTACGGCAAGGATAGGTCGCCGTTCGCGTTGCATGCGCAGGATCAGGAGCATGGAGTTGCGGCTTTCGTTGTTGAAGGAGAACGTGTTGTGGGCTTTGGGCTCACGGGTACGGCAGGAGATGAGACGATCTTGGAGAGACGCGGAGGAAAGATTCAGGATATTGCAGATGCCTGGTTTGATAGGCTTTGAGCACATGTACGGATGCATATCTGATAAAATACGAGTGTCAAGATGCTTGATGGGAAGTGGCGAGGCTGCCGGATGGCAGTGATCACAGATGAGGCAGAGATTGAAATGCCGGTGGCGTGCTATGGCCCGGGCCTGTGATCATGAACAGATATGGTCGGCCTCTGAGGAGTCATCGTACACAGCAGTCAATCGATATTATTCAAGCGTGTATGGAATACCTTCATGCTATGGTACATTGGATACATGTGAAGTATCGTACGGAGTGAGCTCTCGAGCTACTGCTGAATCAATTAGATATTATAAGGCCCGATCGAGTACAGTAAGGAGTTAAGGTGCCAGTCCATTGTTATTACACGTTACGAGACCTAGAGATTATATGCTGGCTGTAGAATAAGTGGGATCAAGTCCAATTAGTAGGTGTTTTCTCTTTTCATACTTTTTTGGTCCCTGGTCGGGTATCATGCGGCGCTTTTGATATGAAGCGGAAGAGATTGGCGCGATGACGCATACTCGGCCCCGGCTTCGGTGGCGATACACTTTACACCAAGGGTTTCGAGGTTAGTCAACAAGTGTATCACGAGCGGGCCACCGCAAATAAACCGAAGATCTTCACCATCCATGTGAAGATATCAGCATACTATCTCGATACGCGAAGCCTATAAGTCAACGTACGAGGAAGAGAATGATACTGTCGTTCTTGGCGACCACGGCGCTGGTGGGACCGGACTCGAGACGGGCAACAACCTTCTTGAGGTCGTGGAGACTCTCTTCGACGACAACGTGGTGTGCGGCATTTGACGCCCGGATGATACTGACAGCGCGGTGGGTGTCGAGTTCGAGAGACCTCTGCGAGAATGTAGTGAGTGAAGGTGGATCCACTCGGCACGCGTGGGTAGACGTACGCGGAAATTATTGTCCGCATCGGACAGTCTCATCAGAAGCTCCGCGATCTGGGACTTCTGTTTGCGCGCTAGGATGAAGCGCCGCCAACGGCTGTCGCCTTCCATGGCGAGGGTTTCTAGATCTTGAAGAATGCACTGCACGGCCCTGCATCACAGTGCATTAGCTCACAGAACTATATGTACGCTCTCGATCTCACCTATTCAAGCGCGCTAGCGCTTTCAGAAACACCTCGGAATGGCCATGGCTGTGAGCGTCTCTAGATTCCCAAGCATCGACAAGACTATCCTGTATCACATCGATGCGGTGGTAGAGGGTCTGCCTGTCGCTCTTGTTCTGTAACATGGTCTATCCGACGTGAGTGCGATCAGCATGGGCTCTTATCACAAGGCGAATGGTGAGTGTCGCGTACCTCGAAGGTGTACATAAGCTTGAGCACACCGCCCAACGTACTCTCCAAGGGTGGGAAGACGGCGCTAGACTCCTTCAGCGACTCCAAGCTGAGGATCACAAGCTCTCGCGTGATCGCACGCGTGTTGGTTCTCAAGAACTGGGGAATGTGCTTCCTGGTCGTCTTACTGAAGACGAGGCGCACAGACCTTTCTGTCTTTGTAGGGTTGGCCTTTGGGGGCATATCCTGAACAAAAGTGGTAGACCGGCGCACACTCCGGACATCTCCCAGACGGGAGTCGGCCCCCAGAGCTCGCTTCCGCAGAGTAGGCGCCGTCTTGCTTCGAGAAACAGGATGCGTTGAGATGGCAGGAACGAAGGGTCACGGACAACCCGTACAGACGCGAGGTACTTACTTATATGATCCAACACGAGCAATTGACGATGGGGCGCCTGTTCGGAAGTCCAACTGAATAGGCTTCCATTCGGAAGTTGCTGTACAGGCCCTTGTGACTAGAGGCAGTTCCGATTGATGAGTAGTCAGAAGCTCGATTCGGAAGCGGGATAGTGAGTAGGATTTTAACAGCGTTCATCAGGCATGATGCATCATGGGCAGAACTAAACCGCGCAACAGGCTGGTACGACCAAGCTGCAACGCGGCGTTGTCGGAAATCGGGCCGGGCGTCGAAACGTCAATTTGAGCGCTCACACTCGCGCTCGCGGTCGAACTTGAACTTCGCTGCGGGTCCCCTGTAGAGCGGACCTGCTACAGACATTGAAAGTACGAGTGTATACAGATGCATATGCGAAACCTTCCCTCGACTCTCAATAGCCCTGTCGAGTGTTGCTTGGTAGTCCGCCTCGCCTCCGATCCTCTATCGCACCATCTCCCCATCTCCCTCTTCCTCTCGGTTTCGCCGAGTGCTCGCGCCCCGTTTCTCCACGGTCGCTAGCCAACTCCCCTTCCTCTTCCCTCAAACCAGAGAACCCACTGTCGCATGTCCTGAAGGAACACGGACGATGATCGAAACAGCTCGTACAAATGATGTACCTTACATAAGTAGCGGCTGTAGGTATAGGTATTAAATATCCGTACATACTTGGTTGGAGAAGCTCGGAGCCACAGTATGGGAAGGTGGGGTTAACGATGATAGCACCGGGAACAGTAAGCATGTGGCCCGTCCGAGTACGAGAAGGCAAGAAAGAGTCGAGTGTTTTCTATATTCGTTGTTTTGTCTGTTTTTTTGTCCTGGCAGTGGTTTTGTCCTCGTAAGATTGGAACTCATCGTCTGACTCAGTGGAATAACCCGAGTGAGGTGGAGTCTTCTCGTGAACCATCGAGCTCGACATCCGCAGACGAGGTTAGGGTATCGGGGGTACAGTGATCATGCCTGGTTATGGTGTCATTTTGACGAGTTTTATCACGAGCGGGCCACCGCAAATAAACCGATTGAATCGGGCTATCGCCAGACGTCAGTATCGACGTCAAAGGAGAGGATGTGAATGCCCGACATACTAGAGAAAGGTATATGCCGTTGACGCGCCGATCTGGACTTGACTCAAAATGAGCGAGTGTCGTCTTGACAGCGTGAAGGTGTTCTTCAACGACAGAATGATGAGCTTCGACAAGGGAGTGATGAGCAGCGGCCATCAATCCTATCTTGTGAACTCCATGATGAATGTCGAGCTCGAGGGATCTCTGTGTACAAGACTCGGTACCCGTATGGGGGATGGATCAGGTGCAGGACGTACACGGAAGTCGTTATCCGCATCGGACAGCCTTGCCAGGAGCTCCAAAAATTGGGACCGATGTCTACGCGCAAGGACGAAGCGCCGAAACCGGCCTTCACCAGTCGAGGCAAGGTCGTCAAGGTCCTGTACGATGCGCTGTATAGATCTGAGGGACATGAGTGCGGGTAGATAGGCAGGTTGCGTGCGGTAGCGAACCTATCAAACGCCTCCAATGCTTGGTGTTGCGTCGTCGTGAGGTGGCGGACATACGACTCGTCAGAGCCGAACACCTTGACCAAGCTGTCCTGGATGGTGTCGACGCGGACTCGGAAGTTCCGTATATCGTCCTGATTCTGCGTCATGGTCTATCGCGACCCAACAGGAGTCAGTACCGAGCATAACCACGATCGAAAATCAAGCGTACCTCGTAGGTATTGACGAGCTTGAGGACGCCGCCGACAGCACTCTCGAGAGGCGGAAAGGCGGAACTGGATTCCTTGAGAGACTCCAGACTGAGCAGAAGAGCCTCGCGGGTGATCATGCGGGTGGATGGGCCAGGAAGCAAGCGCTTCGGGCTTATCTTTCCCAAAATGTGGCGGATGGATCGAGCATTATTTGAGGGTTTGAGAACATTGGACGATGAGAGCGGGTTCAGCGGGTTCCGGGCCTGTCCCGGAGGAAGGACGGCACCCAGAACTCGCTTTCGCAAGAAAGGCGCCGTCTTTGAGCGGAAGATGTGCGAACGATAAGAATTGTGAAGATGGGCGCCGCAAGGAGGGTGACGAGTATCGTCGACCGTGGCTCGAGGCACTTATATCTGGACAGCTCGCTCAGATTTGACCGGGAATATGGGCGCAAGCTTCACAACATCCACCTAAGAGTGTACTTGTCCTCGTGAGCAGTGCGGCAACACGATTGATGAGCGATAACACTCCAAGTAGGCATGAAGGGTCCGGACTCGGACAAACACCATCCTGTTCATCGTATCATATAGCTTCTAGGCAAGCTACATACACTCTGTGGCGATGCGGCGTCTTCGTGAGTGTCTTGAACCGGATGAAACCACCTTACAGCGCACCGCCTCCGAAGTGCACTGATGACATGCTCGTCCTCGTCAGCGAGAAAGACCTGCTCATGAATGCGGGAAGTGGGACGGCGTCGGTATGGCATGTTGAAGACTAAAGTACCGTCCATTCCTTCTTTCGGAGTGGCTTGAGGATAAGAGTGAGGCATCATGGGCCTGCTAGGCGCTCCGATGAGGGCGGATAGAACGTATCGCAGAAGACGGCCGCCCTCTGAGGCGATGTAGTCCAGAATCCGGAGTCGCTTCTGAGCGGCACCCGCATTTCTCTCATGCTGCGTGCATCAAGAAGATTCATTGACGCTGGGAAGGGGGACGAGTATGTGTGGGACATGATGGTCAGGGAGAAGCTTGCCGGCGCTCGCTGGCCGCTCGCGGCGAACGTGAGAAAGACTCTGAGCTGTAGCTTCAACGTGAACTTTAGCGACGCACGTCTCTGCCTGTATGAGGACCACTTCCAAAAGCTTGCAAACAAAGAATGACATAAGAATCTATCATGAAACATCCGCTATCATAGTCCGAGAATCTTCGTTTAGGCATATAGACACAGAATCATTTCCGAATGCGCTGCAGTTCATAATGGTACAAGACGTCTTCGCGCCCATCAAACACGGTCCTTCAGCTCCTCCCCGAACTTCCTCTCCCAAAACCTAACCATCGTCCTCGCCAACCCAACAGCCTTGAACATCTCCTCCGCGGCGCTCAGCCCCGCCAACCTCTTCAAAGCCGCGTACAGCCTCGAGTCCACAAGCACCCGCGCCGACAAGCCCGCACCGCTCGCGTCGTGCAGAGAGTCCAGCAACGCGTCGTGGTTGAGAGCGCGGGTGGCTTTGTCGGATATAAAGCCGCGAGTGATCGCGGCCCAGAGCTTGGCTTGGTGGATGAGCTTTCGCTCCTCCTCGAGGGAGAGAGGGTCGGCGGTTATCGGTTCTTCAACAGGTGCGGGGGCTTCGACGGCCGGAGGGGGTCCGACGATCATTGGCGGTGGAACAACCGTAGGGGTGGCGACAGTCGTAGGCGGCTGGAGAACCGTAGATGGTTCGGCGGCAGCAGACGGCTTGCCGTAGCTAGGCGGTTTGGCGGAGGCGGGATAAGTGACGACCGGAGGAGGCTTCAACACCGAAGTCGACGGCCCAGCCGAAGGGGTTCTGCCGGCCACGGGCGATTTCGCAGCCGTAGGTGGCTCGGCGACTTCTTCCTCGGACGCGAAACGCACGGTCTTCGTTTTGCTGGAAGATGGCGTCGAGCTGAAGTTCGCAGACGACTTCTTCATGGACGATTTCGGCTGCGAATGAGATGATCAAGTTAGTCACGAGAAAATAGTATCACAACTAGACAAACTGACCTTTGCCGCATCGCGCGACTCGTCCGTCCAGTCATCGGCGCTCGACGTGTGCGGCACGATCTTGCTCGCGCGAGCAGTCGACGCGGGTACACGTAGCTTGCGGAGAGCGCGTTCGCTCTCCCTCAATACGCGCAAGAACATCTTGCTCCGCCTAAAATTGTACGCGGGGTCGTCACGTTCATTCTCAACAATGGTGGAAGATACGTCGCCCATCAACGCATCATTGTCGAGCGTTTCGCCCGCGTCGGGACCCGGGCCGCCCACTTCGGTGTCGTCGTCGACGTCCATCGCGTTACCACCATCGTTACCGTCACCAGAGTCGGCGCGGTTGTTGGCGTTGAGAACGGTGAGCGCTTCCTCGATCAATGCCGCGGCCTTGTCCAGCGTCTCTCGGTCAACGAGTTCGAACCGTGACCGAACATCCGAAGCACGTGAGGTCGACGTGCCGGGGCGGGGCGTGACCGGAGCAGTTACCCGCGACGACGAGCTCGCAAGCGGAGACGCATGTGGGCGCGGGGGACGTCTCGAGCCCGTGGGCGACTGGGGGGATGGGACCGAAGGGGGCGACGGTGCGCGAGACCGCGGCTGCTTCACAGGCCGAGGCTGATGGCGATCCTCCGAATCAGAAGTGTTCGCAGGGCGACGGCGCTTCTGGTTCTTGCGCGAGAAAGTCGTGGATGAGTGCGCGTGCGCATCGTTTGCGGACGCGGTGCGGGTGTTGTTGGTAGGAGTTGAAGTACGAACGGCCGCGCGCGGCGAGTTGAGCTGTGGCGCGACCGGCGCTTGCGCGCGTGACGGTGTCACATCTATGCACGTGTGTGTCACTGGTCACTGATAAACATCAGGGGGGTTAATTTGAGGCTCACCTTCTTCTCCCACCACCGCCAGGGCATTGACTGCACCCCTGGAGGGTGGCGGTCCCTAAGAATATTGATCAGCCACCATTGTGCATTTTCAGGAGGGTTAGGAGCACATACATCCAAAATAATAATCTCATCATCTGATTCTTCAGTCTTGAGCTGGTCTATCTCTTCCCCCTCCTCCTCCCCCTCAGAGTCTGAGAGCACCTCAATGGTGGGTCTGTCCCTATGGGAGGTAAAGCTTGCTGTATGACCAGTGGCAGTTGCTGTTGCTGTGAGATGAATGTTGAAGGTAGCCATTGCAGAATCTATAAAAATAATCAGATAATATACCCCAAAATAGTGCCATATACAACATACCTCAAAGAGCAAGTGCTATAACAACTAATGAGTCTGAGCAAGTTGGGCCCCTGTCAAACTTGTGAGAATGCGGAAATAAGGCATTGGAAAGATATTGAAAGGTGAAAAAGTTAAGCCTACAGTCAAATTATGACTGCCATAAGTACTCCACTTCCATCTAACAGCCCATCTACCAGTGGCAACTGCCAACTCCCCCTCCTCCTCTATCAATGCCACTCCTACTACCAGTGCAGGCCGCCCCCCTGCCAGTGCAGACCACCCTCCTGCCAGCGCAGAACACTCCCCTGCAAGCGCAGACTGCCCCCCCCCTGCAAGCGCAGACTATCTTTGCTGCTAGCGCAGACCCCTTCCACCGCTAGCGCAGACCACCAAAGCTAGCACAAACCTCCACTGCTACTGCAGACTGCCAATGCTAATGCAGACCACTATTGCCAACGCAGACCGCCAATACTAACTGCCACCCCCTATACTGCCACTGCCACCACCCCCGGCAGTAGTACCAGCACCATCTGTGCGACTTCCATCTACACCACCCAAGATTGCCATCTGAATATCATGACTTCAATACTACAACCCCATCACTAGAGCACAATTCTCAACTACAAGCCTGCAGCCTCAACAGCGCACACTAGAAGTCCAGGCCAAGACACAAGCACACAGTTCGCAGACTGCACATCCGCAGATGCCAATACCAATACTATACAAGAGAAAAGTACTCACTTAGGACTGTGCTTGAGGATAATGGCTGTATTGGCTCTAGCACAGATCGGCTGTAGCTAGAAAATGTTGGAGGAAAAAAATAATTGGTGGTAGCGTGCGGTGGTGGTGGTTGGATTGAGAAGAAGGAGCTCTCATAGAGACACTTCTGTGCTATATATACCTGCTAAGACCAAATAGGTGTAAATAACAATGTGAGCGAGCGGACCTTATTTGAAAACCTTCTGTAGTGTATTCACTCACGGCCTTACAGCTAGCTAAACCCCCAGAAGTAGTTCGATCGGACACAAAAGTCTGCTTGTCAATTCAGTTTTTCACTGCTTGTGAATGCCAGTCAAATGGACTGTCAGCAATATTAGTTGGATTAAGAGAGGAAATTTTCACCCCGGAGTTGATGTGGGTCAGAAGATGTGGGTCGGGCGCAGCATGTCATCTCAATTGCGTCATCCGCGGAAATTCCGTGCGCGTGCGTGATCTCGATTGATAAGCAGATCAGCCTTCCCAATCGCGAGGTCGAGACGAGGAATACGAGGCGGATATCGCACAGTACGAGACGTACAGTTTAATACACATTCTTCACAAATCCCTCAACCCGATCTGAAAAGCTCGTACCATCTGCGATACCCAGCACCCATGTCCACCCGAATTTATCCTACTTTTACAAACCAAGCATCCGATGTCTCCTGCACACTCCCGCCCTCCATCTCGAGCATCGTCGTTTCGTCCCCTAACAACCCCCGCAGCCCAAAGCCGAGCACCTTTCCATCCTCGACAACGAAATCCGCCCATGGCGCGTCGCCGTCCTGACCGCACCGAATCTCGCAAGTCTCGAACGGCGTGCGGTCAAGTCCGTGGCCGCGTGGGTAAAGCGAGCTAGGCCGGACAGTGAACCGTTCGTCGTGGACGTGCACGAGTCGGAGATGGCTTGACCAGAGGCGCGGCCAGATGGCGTATAGATTGTTCTCGCGGAGGTGCTCATCTACCGCGGTAAAGTCGGCGAGTGCCTCGCGGCACCGGTCTGATGTGCTTGAGCTGGTGCAGAGGTCGAAGCCTGCACCATAGCCCGCCGCGGCATAGGTACCCTCCAGCGACGTGATGTTGATGCGCGCGAACGATTCGCTTAGACCTGGGTTCCCACTCTCGAGCGAGCCTGACGAGGTGGGAAGGCGGCGCTCGTCATCATTCAACCAGTCAAACTGCATCCCGCGATCGCTCCCCAGAGGCTCGAGCCCAAAAGCGGCCTCGAAAAGCCTCCACGCAATTCGCGTATTGACGTCGGCCTTCTGGTCGCCGTTATTCAAAATCACAATCCCGACGTTGTCGTGCGGTGCGAACAAAATGAGCGACGAGAACCCGTTCGCGGAGCCGGAGTGCAGCACGATGTCGTGTCCGCGGTACGAGTGGCGACGCCAGCCGAGCGCGTATCCCGAAAGGGACTGAGTAGGTTTGCCGGCGCCGTTTTCGATAACGCGAGCCGTCGTCAAGGTCTTGACGAGTTCGGCCGGAAGGACTTCGCGCTGTGTGGTGGAGGTTGTGTGAGTCCCATTATTGAGAAACATTGCCACCCAGCGCGACTGGGGTAAACGCCGCATAAGTCAGCTTCGTGCTATAACCGACGGGAGGACGTAGAGTGGACGTACCAAGCCTTCGACATCCGCGATCAGGCCCGCAGGTCCAGCAGCAACTTTATAGTCATCCTCCGTGAAGCACCACGGCAAGGCGCGGCCGGCACTCGACCACGTCTGTGTCGCGCGTCCGCTCTCCAGCGCTCGAGCAGGAGAGAACGTGAAGGTGACGTTCAACGGGACGAAGATCCTCTCGTGGAGGTAGTCCTCCATGCTAGTGTTGGTGTATTTATCGAGAATGTGTTTGCCGATCATGTACATCTGCAGCGCGTATATCAATTGACCGCCCAACATCGAGAGAAAGAAAGCTGCGTACAATGTTGTTGTAAGAGTACCGTTCACGCAGCTCGAAAGCCGGGCGCAGATCGCGTAGACGCGACAGTACGCTCGCTGGCGTATCATTCCGAGAGTAGGCGTAGTCATGGCGGGGTAGACCGCTAACATGCGAGAAGATATCCTTCAGCTTCGCGCCGTGCGTCGCCCACTCGTCCATAAGTACCCATTCGCCCGGGAGCAGGGCGGCGAGTTTCGTGTCCCAGTCGAAGCGTTTCACCTTGGCCGGGAGTGCGGTGAGGTTCTTGTTCTGCGCGAAGTCCTCCATAAGAAGGCCAAGACCGGCCGTCACGAAGGCCTTTGTGTTTGACGCTATCGTGAAATACGTCTGTGGAACCAACCTCAGCGTCTGAGCCGCAATGCTGGATGAAAACTGCATACATCACTCGTCATTCGATCCCCGTCCTCCGACCGTATCCCAAAATTCCCGTACTCCGTCGTGTCCGCATCGTTCGGCTCCCCTCCTTTCGGCCGCCAGTCCGTATGCACAACAGCAACGGACATTCCTCGAACGCCATCTTTGGCCAGCTCCTTCTCGATGTACGACTTGACACCATCCGAAAGCGCCCGTTCTGAGGTGCGGCTCGGCGTCGGCGCGTGGAAAGGCGCCTGCAAGCGCGCGTTGATAGGCGCGCCCAACTGCGCCGAAGCAGGCGCTGTAAGCGCCCAGACGAGCAGAAGGCTCCAGCGAGATACCATGAGACACCAAAGAAAAAGTCGTTGCGCGGGTCAAAGAGGATGGAAGAGCCCAAGTTCGGTCCAAGGTACCGCGTTCACGTTCAGGTCCTGCAGAGATAACGATAGCCGCCTTATTTTGCTTTGCCGGAGCAGACGAGCGA